ATAACTGTCCATTTGTTGTTGTTTGTATTGTTATTTTGAATAATATTTTATTTGCTGTTGTTGTTTATGCTGTTATCTTGAACAACTTTCTATTTGTTGTTGTTTCTACTTTTTTTAACAACTTTCTATTTGTTGTTGCTTCGATTGTTATATTGAATAATTTTCTGTTTGCTGTTGTTGTTCGTATTGCTATCTTGCACAATTTTCTATTTATTGTTGTTGTTTCTATTTTTTTTCAACACCTTCTTATTTGTTGTTGTTTCTATTTTTTTTTCAACAACTTCTTATTTGTTGTTGTTTCTATTTTTTTTTCAACAACTTCTTATTTATTGTTGTTCCTATTTTTTTCAACAACTTCTTATTTGTTGTTGCTTCAATTGTTATTTTGAATGATTTTCTGTTTGTTGTTGTTGTTTATATTATTATCTTGAACAACTTTCTATTTGTTGTTGTTTCTATTTTTTTTGAACAACTTCCTGTTTGCTGTTGCTTCGATTGTTATTTTGGATAATTTTCTATTTATTGCTGTTGTTTAAATTGTTACCTTGAACAATTTTTCATTTGCTGGTGTTGGTATTCTCGTATTTGTTCGAACGTATTAATTTTTCATCATACAACTTTTGTTATTAGTTTATGTTTATTATGGCTTCTAACTCAGCTACACCCAATAACAAAACTGATCCCGGTTTTATTATTATTCATGATGATATTCAATGTCCACCAGTACTTAAAGAGTTTTTCTTAGATTTACGTATTAGTATAGAGAAAAATCGGTGGTCTTCAAAATGTAGAATTTGTTCAACATCTATTACTGATAGTTATAAAACAACTTCAAATTTTTTAAAGCATTTAAAGAACAAACATCAATCTATGCTTGATGAATGGAAAAACAACCAGGATCAATCTGTTAAAGACGCAAATCAGCCGAAAATAGATAATATTTTTAGTCCTGATGGTGAAAAATGTAAGTGTTTTCTTAGTGTAAAAGAAGTATTAATAACTTCCATAACTGTTATGAGAGAAGAAAAAAGATCAGATGATGAAGCTAACGTTTATGTAAAAGAAATATTCTAGCATATGTGAGTTCATGCTTGGTGTTATAGATATGTCATATATTTGTTATTTTATATTTGTTTTATGAATATTCAGTGAATACAACATTTTCTAAATTTAGATTCAACAAACAACAAACGACAACAACAACTCACCAACAGCATTATCCAAAATCTGATAATAAATATGGGTCTTCCATTGTCAATTGTTGATCATATATCATTCAAGAATTTCATGAATGACGTTGATCCAAAATATAAACCTGTTAATAGACGTGATCTTACCCGTTCATTTTTACCCGGTTTACATAAAAAATGCACTGCAAAATTACAAGAAATATGTGCTCAATCAAGTTATGTTAGTCTAACACTCGATGTGTGGACTGACCGCCGTATGCGGTCTTATTTCGGTGTTACTTTACATACTATTATTAATGATAAATATAAATCATTTTTACTTTCATTCGAGCAACTTGAAGGAAAACATACAAGCGAAAAACTATCAGCAGAATTTGATCGTATAATACAACTTTATAATTTAAATGGTAAAATTGTCCGTTTGATTACTGATAATGCCAGTAATAACCGGGCTGCCTTTGATGATATTATTTTACCTGGATTTGAAGATTATTTCGATGAAATAATAGGTGATCAATCTGAATCTGAAACTGAATCAAACGATGAAGAATCTAATGATTATTCAATTGGTGAACGACAACAATTACAAACACATGAAGTTGATGATTCTATTTATCAAACAACATTGAATCCAATAAGTGAAGAAGAATTTGTACGTTTACCATGTTTTGGACATTGTTTGCAGCTGGTGGTCAATGATGGAATAAAAGCAAGTGATGCAGCATTATCATCTCTGAAAAAGGTAGCTCGTTTAGCTAAGCTTGCTCATTTTAGTACAGAATTTGCAGAACGACTTGAAAAAGTCAACTGTGCTATTCCAAGAGCTAATCATACCAGATGGAATAGCCAATTCCAAACAGTGAAAAGAGTTATTACTATTCCATCTTCAACACTTAATTCAATTTTAACAGATTTGAAGAAAAATGATCTTATACTTAATAGTAGAGACAGAAAAATTTTGGAAGAATTTGTATCTTTGTTTGAGTTATTTGATGAAGCTACTGTATTAACTCAGGGTGAATCTTATGCAACTGTTACCTTTGTTGCACCTACTGTTCTTGGTATACTTTTTGATCTTGAACGTGAACTTAGTTCTTCTACTTTAATTCTCTCTTCTTTATGTGAAGCTCTTATTTCATCCATTAAAGCTAGATTTAGTGGACTTCTTCGTCATTTTGGAATTGATGTACCTTTCAATTCTTTTTCTATGTCGGAGCGTTTCTCAGATGTGATTTTTCTTATTGCTCCACTTTTTGATGCACGTTTTAAACTATTGTGGCTTGATAATCTTCATACTGTTGTAAAAATACGTGTTCTTGAAAAAATTCGTAATGCGTTTGTTCGTTTTTTTTCTAAATTAAGTCTTTCTATGTCACGGAACATGGGAGCCGATGTAACCAACACAAGCGAATCAAGTGATATTGACGTTTTAACAAAGAGCACTGAATCACATAGTAAAAGAAAATGTCTTTTTCCTTATTTTGATGAAATAAAAAAAAGTTCTGTCGATGATAAGTCGAGAATTTTGACTGAACTTGATGCTTATTTATGTGAAGAAAGTTCTACAGCAAATTTACTTTTTTCAAAAAAACATATTTATCCATGTCTATATAAACTTGGTTTGAAATACTTGTCAGTACCGGCTACATCGGCTCCCATAGAACGTGTTTTTTCTAAAAGTGGTTTTCTTATGCGTCCACATAGAGCATCATTATCTGTAAAAAATGTTTGTTTACTTACTTTTCTTAAATGTAATAGTGTTTTGTTATAATTTGATTTGCTTGACTGTTGATAGTAAAAGAAAATAAAAATAATATATTGACTTTACACTTTTGCAATATTTTGTTTTGGCATATACATCGGACATATAAGGTAGCTATAAGTCTATTTTTTCTCATTAAATATTTTTAGAAACTTATAGTGATATCAGATACAACGGTAAACGTACTACTACACTAAAAAAAAGGTAGAATGAAATAGCTTTTAAGCTTTTTGGAAACTTATACACAGAGCCAAAGGTTTTTGTATTCCACTATTTATTTTACAGTGCACTCAGAAGATTCGTCCTTGTACTCGTACTCGTACTCATACTCGTACTCGTACTCATACTCGTACTC